ATAAATTATAAACAATGTTTTATTTTAAATGTAGGCACATTTAATGTATAAATTATATATAAATATAAAATACGTAAAATACTGGAGAATGTGCGTAGAGATAGATAAATGGATTTTTATTATTTTAGTTGTCTAAGATCATTGGCCAATGATTATTTTTTAACTTCTTAATTTTTTTCTTGATTTAAAAACGCATCACTTGCTTTGTCTATTTTTTTGTGATCCCAAAATATCTTAAGGATTGTAAAATTTTTATTTACTTCTACCTTTTTCTCTAATTTCAAATATTTTTAAAAGATTTTATTTAATTTATTTATTTGCAAGAGAGAACTAGAGAGAGAGCATGGGGACTGGGGGATGGGAGGAGGGGAGGGAGTGACAGAGGGAGAGGGAGAGGCAGCTCCCCACTGAGCAGGGAGCCTGGAGAGGGCTGGAGCTCAAGGAGGTCTTGATCCCAGGAATGAGGGATCATGACCTGAGCCAAAGGCAGACGCCTAACTGACTAAGCCATCCAGGCTGCCCTCTAATTTTAAATTCTGATACAGTTTCAAATGTATAGAAAATTTGCAATTATTGTGCTCAAGAACAAGGAATATTCTCTGTTCAGATTCATTAGTTGTTTACATCATGATTATATGTATGTGCATATATGTATTTTTCCTGAATCATTTGAGAATAAGTCGTAGACATTATGCTTTTTTATTTGAAGTATTTTGGTATGTCTTTCCTAAGAATAAAGGCATTGTCCTATGTAAACATAGAATTATGAAAATTAAGATAATGTATTGTCAACTAAATACTGTTACGTAACTGTATCTAGGATCACATGTGCATTGGCTTGTCATGCCTTTTTTTTTTTTTTTTTTTTCCTTTTCATGCCTTTTAAACTTCCTTTAATCTGGAACATTTTCTCAGTCTTTAGTGGCTGAATTTGAAGATAATTTCGGACTTTCCTCAGTTTGGGTTTGCCTGATATTTCCAAATGATTGATTCAGGTGATGCATTTTTGGCAGATGTATATACCGCAGAAGTGATGTTGGGTCCTTCTCAGGTGCACAAGGCACTTCATGTGCATTTATGTATTAGTGATAACGTTGTCTTTGTTTAGAGAAGGTAGTCTCTGCCAAGTTTCTGCACTGAAAGTTACTATTTTCCCCATTGTAATTAATAAGTGATTTGTGAGAAGGTGCTTTAAGACTATGCAAATATCTTGCTCTTCACACTTTCTTTCACGCCTAAGTAAGTGCTGATCCACAAGGGGTTTTTTATTTTATTTTTTAAAGATTTTATTTATTCATGAGACGCAGAGAGAGAGGCAGAGACACAGGCAGAGGGAGAAGCAGGCTCCCTGCGGGGAGCCACATGCAGGATTTGATCCCAGGACCCCAAGATCACTACCTGAGCCGAAGGCAGACACTCAATCACCGAGCCACCCAGGTGTCCCATAAGTGTTTTGTTGACTGACTCAATAAACTATTTGTTTAGTGATGATTTTCTGACACCACCAAGACATCTACATTTGTTAGGTGGCATTCCATGCAAAGGAAGATGTTTTTCTTCTTCCTTATATATTTTATTCATTTCTCTTATACTTATATTCTCTATAATGAATCTTAATTCTTTATGATAATCATTTATTTTGATTTTCCAATTGTCCTAGATATGACTGGTAAGAACTTCTTGAAGATGAGGCCTCTGTCCTTTTGACATATCCCATCATTTTTAAATGCTTTACTCCTCCCCCTGCAAACACAAACAAACAAACAAACAAACAAAAAGGTCATCACCTTGAATTTTATATACTTTGATCACCTCCCTGTGTACATGTTCTAAAATGCCTGGATAGTTTTTCACATTTTCATAGTTTCAGTAACTTTCTGAAAGTGAATTTTGTATCACTCTTAGGACGTTTGCTTTCCTCTTTTCCTCACAGTTTTTCTGGACTCCTTAGATCCCTATAAAACCTAGTGTGAGCTTATAAGATAACTCTTTTGGAAATTGGTGTTTAATTCTCTGTTTACAGATAATTTGACATTTTTATTATTCTCTAACTTCCAGTTATACTGAAGCCCTAGGGTTTTTGTATTTTTGTTTGTTTGTTTTGGTTGTATATTTTTTGAAGAATGTGGGAAAAGTTTCAGATTTAAATGGCTGGTATTGGGGATCCCCAGGTGCCTCAGCGGTTTAGCGCCTGCCTTTAGCCCAGGGCCTGGTCCTGGAGTCCTGGGATCGAGTCCCGCGTCGGGCTCCCTGGATGGAGCCTGCTTCTCCCTCTGCCTGTGTCTCTGCCTCTCTCTCTTTCTCTGTGTGTGTGTCTCTCATGAATGAATGAATGAATGAATGAATGAATAAATAAATAAATAAATAAATAAATAAATAAATAAATAATATTAAAAAAAATAAATGGCTGGTATTACCACAACTACCCAGAATTCCAGGTCTGTGTTTTTAAAGCATTACACAGAGCATACTAACATTTCAAGTTATTTGCAATATGCCATGATGCAACAGAATTTATGGATTGCAGATCTTTACCTTCAGGGGTCTGTGTTCTCTTAATCTAGTTTAATTTAGTTAAATTGAAGCTTTCTTTCTCTGTTATTATAATTATTTTATCAAATAGTAAACCTGTCAGTCTAGGAAGTATGTCTCTGGAAGATGTTGTGTTTTACAGTAAATGTAAAATCATTATTTTAGATCATAAAGTCCCTTGATTTGTACCAATTGATTTGGTTTATACATTTCTCCCTTAGCTTAAAAATTTTTCGAATATGAGGGCACCTGGGTGGCTCAGTCAGCTAAGCGTCTGCCTTTGGCTCAGGTCATGATCCCAGGGTCCTGGGATGGAGCCCTGCATTCGGCTTCTTACTCAGCAGGCAGTCTGCCCCTCCCTCTGCCTCTCCTTCTGCGTTCCCCCCACTCATGCTCTCTTTCATTTTTTCTTTCAAATAAAGGAAACCTATAAAAAAGTAAAATTATCAAATGTATATTTAAACAAATGGAAATTCAAGCCCATGGAATTTTAAAACATATATACAGAGATTAAAACAAGATAACCAATCGATAATACCTGATTATAAGAATCCAATGAAATATAGTTAGAAGCCATTGCTTCATTTAATGAAATAAGCTTTTTGACCGTAATTAAGGAGATTTTCTCCTCTCCAGTTTCACAGCAAAGAGGTCTGATTGTAGTTGGATCGGGAACAAGACACTCCAGTGCTTGCAAATGGTAGAAGGTAGCTGGCAAAAGTAGGAAATAGCTGAGTGCAGAAAGCATGCCACATTCAGGAGGGGCAAGCATTTCTCTGTTCTCTGGAGGCTGTGAACCCAGCCTCACAAAATCTTTGCTCTTTCAAAGAAGCTAGAAATGAGAATTATTCTGAGAAATCTCCTACTTTACAATTTCTTAAAAATAGTTTCAAAACCATGGCGTGGGATAAACAAAACATGTCAGTAAGCCAGATTTGGTTATTATATCCCAGCTTTCACCCTCTTCTCTGGATGCATTGTAGGGACTATCAGGGGCTGTAGTGAGAAGAATCTGTGTCGGAAAAGCTGGTTCATAGGCTAGGATTACCTCTTATTAGCTGCGTCAATCTGGGCAAATCATGTGATTAGTATTAACTTCAGTTCTCTTGCCTATGAGGGTGAATATACTAAAATATGAAGAAATATATAGGTTTGCTAGTTATAACTTCATAATTCTTTTGAAATTATTTGTGGACATAAATTAGTATCTACTATTAAGCTCTAAGGTTTAAACCTAGAAAAATGAAATTTATAGAAATACACCATTTCTTAGAAATTTCTTAATCCCCTTTTGACATGTAACTATAAATTGTTACCTCTATCTAGTTTCCTTTCGTTTGAGACCTTTTGTGTTGAGTGAGCATTAGTAAAATCATTCATTCTTGTGCCAGGCGGAGGCCAGTGTCATCTTGTTGTCTTCCATTCACTAGAGGAAGACAAATGAGGTTTTCAACTCAGAATGCCTGTTCTGCTTGTTGAACTTTTGATTTGATTGCATTTGGCTTTGGTTGGACACAAAGGTACACCTCCGGCATTAGGAAGCTGATGTCCCTGTTTAGCGCCGTGAACCAAATCTTTCTGGGCAGATTCTGCTCCTCACTGAGGCCCCATGTTCCCCTAAAGATGCTTGCTACTTAAGAGGGTTTCTCTTTATACTGTCTATAGTGGTTTTGATCTGCATTGTACTTTAAAGGGTCACTTTGATTATCACTAGGTATGTTTGTTTTGTTTTCTTTTGAACAGTTCTTGTATGGCACACCATACCCAGTAGGATAAAATCCATTTAAGTTGAAATATTTTGAGCTTTGAAATTAATGTGCTCTTCCCAACACCTCTCCTTTAAACCAAACAAATCAATTAATAAAATCTGATTAACTTTCTCCTTATTAGTAACTTTCTGACAAAAAAAATGGATGTTTGTGTATTTTTGTAAGGTGTGCAAGTGGCATGCCTGCATTTTTCTCAGTGCATGGTTTTCAATTAGAATTGAAATGCAATTACAAAGTGACTTGGTGCAAATCTCTGGATAAATCAAACAAAATTCTCTTCTAACTCAGTGATCTTCATATGTCAGACAAAAGTACATTTTAAAAGCTTGAAATATTTTAATAACCACCTCAAATCTCCAACCTAAATTTACTTATAAATATCTCCAACTTTCGAATTGCTTTTATGTTATTCTGGCGTGTTCTGGGGAAACTGTTTCTTGCATATATTTCTGAAGCCACTGTGCAGACTTCTTACCTCTTAAGAGCATCCTCTGACTAATATATAGAATATTTGTATATAGTTGGGAATATTTCTGTTCATCAGCCCATTATACTTTGCTAGATATATAATAGACATTTTGCAAAACCTTATTTCAGTATGTTAAAGTATATGTTCTTTAAGTGTGTGTTGGTCTGGATTAGTTTTTCTGTGACCTTGGCAAATTGCTTACTCTTTTGGATTTTTTTTTCTTTTCACAGATGCATATTGTAGGAGTATTTTGAGGATGAATGTTTGCAAATCATTTTGAAATTGCCAAACGCCACATACAGTAAGTAATATGTATTTTTATTTTTCCACTCAGTTACAGTCATGCTGAATGAATTTGGCAGTCATAAAAGAACACATTTCTATTTATGGTTCTTGATATTTGTGAATATTGAGGCAAAATGTATATAAAAGATAAAATTTGACGAGCTATTTGCTAGTCTGGATTAATTTGTATAAATTCAAGATTTCTGATGACAGATTTTTACTATTGCTCCACTTATATAACTTTCACGTAATATTTCTCACTTATATTTGGGTGAGTTTTTTTTCTGAATCATAAATTGAGAAGAGTGCAGGAAATATTAGTGTTATTAGCCCGTGCTGTTATGGAGATTTAAAAGAAATATTGAATTAAGAATTAAGATTTGCTGACTACTAAGACTTACTGTGAATCAGGCAATTTATATGTGTTGCCTATAATTCTTCCCTAAATATTTTAAGATCATTAGTTTTATCCTTGTTTTATAAATAAAAGAAAGTGAGGGTCAAGAAGTTTTCACACCTTGCTCAATATCTACTCAAAGTGATGAGTCTGGGCTTTGAGCACAAGACTTTTCAGAAAATACTGCCTCTACCTATTAATGTACGTAAAGTTAAATAAGTCTTCTAAGAGGCTGAATATTTAGGAGTTGAAACATGTTCTGATACTTTCTTTATATTTCTGTTTTGCTTAAGCATTAGCCTGAAATATTGTACTTTTTTCTGTATTATCTATCATTTGATTGCTTTTATTTCAAATGGTGTTTTCCAGTTCCTCTACTTGGACTTCTTTGAACTAGGATAGAAGAAATGCAAATGCAGATTCTGAGAAACATTGTATTTTTAGGTGATCTTAGTATTTGATTAAAACAGTTTAGAATTAGTGTTCTTTTATCTATGTATCAATATTTAATTCATCAAGAAGAGTTCTTTTTTAAAAAAGATTTTATTTATTTATTCATAAAAGACACAGAGAGAGAGGCGGAGACACAGGCAGAGGGAGAAGCAGGCTCCATGCAGGGAGCCCGATGAGGGATTCGATCCTGGGACTCCAGGGTCATGCCTTGGACTGAAGGCAGGTGCCAAACCGCTGAGCCACCCAGGCGTCCCTAGAAATAGAGTTCTGAAGTTCTCTAAGGTTTTATTTCCTTCATTAAAAAAAAAAAGCAAATAAAATTAAATCACGTTATTATTATCATTATTTTTTAAAAGATTTTATTTATTTATTCATGAGAGACACAGAGAGAGCCAGAGACACAGGCAGAGGGAGAAGCAGGCTCCACGCAGGGAGCCCGAAGCGGGACTCGATCCCGGGTCTCCAGGATCAGGCCCTGGGCCCTCAACCACTGGGCCACCCGGGCTGCCCTCATGTTATTATTTTAAGAGTTTGGAGGGACCACAGAATCAGAGTCCTAGCTTTCACATGCTCAGATTCCTTGTTTGATGAAATGAGGTGATTGGGAGGACAATTTTAAAGTAGGTTTTCTAAAAAATGTACAAGTGATAATGGCAGCATTGATGTTTTTATGTTGTCTCCTAATAAAACTACTTAAAAAAAAAAAAAGATGGCCTAGTATGTGTCTAGGGATTCATGCTGCGTATCCAGACCACCTGATTTTAAATACCAGATTTATCACTTATTAGCTGTGTGGTTGAACAAATTAAGGTCTCTTTAAAATGGATGTAAGATTGGGAACTACTTCATTTGTATGTTAACACATGTAAGGTGCAGCAGAATTCCAGCTACTTAGTAAGTTGATGTTTCAATTCAAGTATGTCTGTTAATAAGCATGACTTCATAATCATGTCATGCAAAGTATACGAAAACAGTTCTCAGTGAATAATGTTTATTGACATGTTCCAAAGGAAACTAAGGTCCAGCCTTCTTTATAAATGTAGAGACATCTCTACTATTTTGAACTCTTAGTGAAAAAACAAACCACTTAGGTAATCAACATTTATATACGGCAAGTGACATCAGCACACGTATATGTGCTCGTGTGTGTCGACTGCATTCCTAGACTGCAAGTGTGTTTGTGTGCTTTTTGGGGAAGAGGGGGTAGCTGTGAAGTGCTTACAGAGTCTAAAATGCATACTTGGAAGGAGGACAAACTTACAGATAGAAAATAAAGTAGTAGTTGAAATGATGGTCAATTCACTTGAGGGAATAATCTCATCCCATGCTTTATGAAACAGTTCATGGAACTTGAAGTGATGTGGACACGGAAACAGTATTTTCTAAGTATTTACTCTATCCCATGCATTTTACATTCAGTATCTCAGTTTTTCTAAGCAATAAGATGAGGTAGGTGTGTTATCCTAATCTTTTTGTAAAAGGAGAGTGTGCAGTAGGATGTTTTAAATCTGTCATTCATGGGACCAAAGCTTGAGACTGATCTAATTCTCAAACATTTATTCTTTATACTCTTTTTTTCTAATGTTTTTTTTTTTTTTAGATTTTATTCATTTATTAGAGAGAGAAAGAGAGAGAGAGAGGAAGAGAGATACAGGCAGAGGGAGAAGCAGGCTCCATGCAGGGAGCCCGACGTGGGTCTCCAGGATCACGCCCTGGGCCGAAGGTGGTGCTAAACCACTGAGCCACCTGGGCTGCCCAGTTCTTTATACTCTTAACATGAGTGTTAAGGACTGAAATTCTGTGGCTGATCTTTCTTTTATTTGCATGAAAACAGTGCTCCCAAACTTCAGATCATACATATGAGTTCTTTAGTAAATAAGTAGTTGATTATTGAATTTCGACTATAGTAAATGACAATTGCCTCACATTTGTAACCCAGTCCAATCTTATTCTGCTCCTGCACAACAGGCCAGTAAGTTGAAAGAGGTGTTGCGGCCAGGAAAGCAATTTTATTCAGAAAGCCAGAAACCAAGGGCGTGGCCGACTGTTAATCTGAGACAACCATCTTCCCTCAACATGGGATTGGAGCTACTTTTATATTAGCAAAGGGGGAGTGGGACGGGGTTGTTGTCTGAAGGTGACTAATGTTTGTTGATCCAAGGAAGGTCATGTAACTTCTTTATCATTGGTCAGTTCATCTTCGTGTACAGGCATCTGGTCATACCATTCCCGTACATCTTTTTTTTTTTTTTTAAGGTTTGTTTATTTATTTGTTTTAGAGAAAGTGAGAGAGATAATAAGTGGGGCAGGGGCAGAAAAGAGACGGGAAGGGAGAGAGTCTCGAGCAGACTCCCTGCTGAGCATGAAGCCCTTCTGGGGCTCAGTGCCATGACCCTAAGATCATGACCTGAGCTGAAATCAAGAGTTGGGTGCTCAACTGACTGAGCCACTCAGGCACCCTGCTGTTCCTGTAAATCTTAATCAGAGCATAATCATTTCTCTGTTTCTTTATCTCCTGGGTGAAGTAGGTTTTGAGTAAATACTGATTTTTGCAAATCATAGCTGTACCATGTCTACATGGCAGGGCATAGCAGAAGTTTCTAAGCTATAGGTTGTAGCAGCAAGGGAAATAGAAGCAATGTAAGTAGCAATGCTAAGTTTCTCCCTGTTACAGAGTGAGTGTTCAGGGGCCACTCAGCAATCTGAAACAAATTGCCTTTTAAAAATGTTGTTTTTGTAAAGAAAACTTAAAAAATAAAAAAGCTTCTTTGCTAGCAGCAGATACTATATCTTATGCTACTTCTCAGAATTTGAAGTGACTGACCACACCATTTTCTTGCGATCCTGCCACCATTTCATACAGTGCAGAAAAGTTTGAAATGAAGAGTTCAGCTTGACTTAATTAATGATTCTCCTCACTATTTGTTATCTTCAGGTGTCTCATCATTGAGGGACGTCTTCTACAACACCACATGGGTGGCATTGACACTTGTCCTTTTCTTTTTTTAAGAAAAGATTTTATTTATTTATTCATGAGAGACACACACACACACACACACACAGAGAGAGAGAGAGAGAGAGAGAGAGAGAGAGGCAGAGACACAGGCAGAGGGAGAAGCAGGCTCCATGCAGGGAGCCCAATGTGGGACTCCATCCCGGGTCTCCAGGATCACGCCCTGGGCTGAAGGCAGCGCTAAACTGCTGAGCCTCAGGAATCCCTGACATTTGTCCTTGTCATCTCTTTGGGGATCTTCATCTTTTTTCCTTTTCAGTCATCCACTGATCCCAGTCCCAGTCACACATCACTTCTTGAACAAAGTGTCAGCAACACTTTACATAAGGGATATTTTTAAACTTACTAGTATTTAAAATATTATTGCCCTTAAAGGGTAATCTCACAGTGCGGTTGGTTTTGAGAGGAAAGGATTTAGAATACTTCTTTCAATTTTAGATTTGGTCTTTGAAAAACAAAGCTAGTGATTACATTTAGTGATTCTGTTTTCACTTAATTCAATAAATATTTATTGCATACTCCTATAATATGAAAAGCACTGTGTTGGTTTAGGAGTAGAGCAAGTGGAAGGTAAAGATAAAAATGACTCAAGAAAATTCTGTGTTCAATTTAAGGAAATAATATAGGCACAGGCATATATAAAGGCTATTATTGTATTAGGATATGATATCATGAGAACGGCCTAAAGTAATCAAATCAATAAAGCTGTTTTAAATAATTTGAGAAATAATGAAACAATTGGATATTTAAAAAATTGGATATTTAAGAAAGATAGAATTCTGGACTGCATTGGCTCAAGATTTCATCATGGAGATTGCATTTGCACTAGATCTTGGTGCAGGTGGAAAATGTTAACAGATAAGTCAAGGTATTGGCAAACCTAAGCTTAGAGTTGAAGAGGAATACTTCACATTCAATAAGTGGTAAATTAAATAGTCTGACAACAGCATAGGTTTCTTGTGTTAGACTAAAAATGGAGAACACTGGAAAATTAAGGCTGGAACTAGGTTGTAGGAAATACTGATAATCACAGTAAGAACTTTGAATTTAATTGGTAGGCAATCGAAAAAAAAAAAAAGAACGTGTGGGAGGGCCAATCCTGTGAATTAAAAGTGTCCTTTTTGATATTAATCTGGTAGTGTTTTGGCAATGG